CCCTCACCTAATGCTAACGATCACCTAAGTGATGCGTTCTCTCCTCCTTGAATACTCAGAAGCTCTTGCATTAGCACGAGAATACCGACCACTCATCTCACCAAATGAAGGATTTGAATATCAGCTTCGTGTTTGGCAACATTGCGAATACGACCCTTATTTTCCAAATTACGTAGAAAAGCCAGCTTATAAAGCATTGAAAGCGAGGCGTGATGCTCTTGTTGGAAAGGGAGCAGAAGCTGTGAATAGAGTGAGGTATGCCTCAATGGCTAATCTGGCTGCAAGTTTTGGCAAGAGACGGGCGAAAGAAGGTTTAATAAGTGAGGAGAGGGAAGAAAAGGAGGTGTCTTCAAGTTCTGGCCCACTGAAAGGTAAGGCTTGGGAGAACGTAGAGAAGATGGAGAAGGAGTGGAATAGGAGGTTGATGAGCGGGGATCTTCCACCATGGCAAGAGAAGAAAAAGAATGAGATTGGAGAAGGGTCAAAATTGGAGGATGATAGAGTTGGAAAGTCCGGGTAGTTGCATAGGAATAAAAGGTGTTCCATGCGAAATCTACCATAGTCTTTACTAGTAAAGTGATATTTGTGGTGTAGTCGGAATGCCCGGACTGATTGCCAATTCAAAACCAAAAATCAATGGAAAAGTGCAACGAAATAGGCTAGTACAAACCTGAAGATGGAGAAGCTGAGGACAAATTTAAATGGTTATTTCCCAAATGGCAAAGAAAATATAAATGCCCAACAGCACACAAGTTTCATGTGCCGCAAGGATCATGTTAAGCTTAATTTCAAGCTCAATTGGTAGAGGGAGTTAGTTGAGATGGCATGACCGCTTAGGTTCAAACTCAACCACAGCCACAAAATCAACTCCTGCACACAACTTAAATAAGTCCGCACAAGATGGCAAGATTATTAACAGACCTGTGACAAAGGGCTCAACGATGGGCTTCTTTCAAAGACGTCTGCGCCTTGTTCCGGCGGAGCTGAAATGAAGTATCCGGTTTTTTGAGGATCACCTCCATATCATTCGTTGACGATAACCAAATCCTTGTCCAGCCCCCAAATCTCCAAACAGGCAGTCCGCCGTTGAAGGGAGCCTCACAAAATCTGACATCGTCGGAATAAATAAAATGCTCCCTTTGACTTCACCTCGTCCATGGACCTGCTATGATGTGCCATGACGGGCCTCGAAGTGGCCAAGCCGTTCGATCGATATCCTCACTACTTGACGAGGTCCTTGCCTCTACCTGAGGATGAAGAAAATGCGACTTTCTTCACGGAGCAGGCGAATTACGTGCCATTTGAAGGGAACGAAAGCTGGGTCCCAGACCTAGCTCCGGAATTCTTCATTCATGCCATCAACGCAACTCCGATTGAACTTGATGGAAAACCAATAAAGCGCCTCTTCGAGCTCTTTGCAGGGAGAACACAGTCCAAACCACGCGGGAACTGGCCTACAGATGCAGTTGAGCTTCCTGCACAACGACGACAGATAAGGGACGAGGATCTCGTCAACGAATCAAGTCTTCCCCAGCGCACTGAGAGTCAAGAACGGCGTGATGAATTTGGTGATTATCTAGCCTACTCTGGATTTATCGATGGCCGAGATGAGATTCAGGCTTCTCCAATATTTACTCATCCCCTTTGGATAGATGAAGGCCCAAGTTCACGACGTATATTATATGAGGAACCCTTCGAATTGTCACCTCGTGCAAGTTTAGACTTCCAACACAGAGAACCATCACCGCCACTACGTCTGAAGTACCGGTCATTAAACGCGGACTCAGATGAGATCCGTCTCATTACCCTCAAGAAGAGTGCCGTTTTCTCCGCTGCCGCTAATCCTATCGAGTGTACCCTTCAGTACGTGTCGCAAACCAAAGCGCCGCGATATGAAGCCCTTTCATATTGCTGGGGTGATCCAAATAATTTACTTCCGATCCTTCTTGATGGTTGTATGATGTATGTGACAGCCAATTTATTCGCAGCACTCCAGCATCTGAGGCTCGAGCAAGGGTTACCACTGTGGATAGATGCTATTTGCATAAACCAGCAAGATATCGAGGAACGAAGTCATCAAGTTCTCCGAATGAATTCGATTTATTCTAAAGCTGCAAGGGTTATTTCCTGGATTGGTGAAAGCTCGGAGGACGATAAATTGGCTAGTCACCTCATGTCAACGGTCGGAACGCAATCAGAGGAACACCTATATGCTCGGGCAGCCCTCAGACTGGGGCCTAATTCACAAAATAGTAGGCTAGAAGGTGTTTTTACGACTGGAGGTGTTGCCGATGAACTGGGATTTGAGGACGCTTTACGTTACGATAACCGATTTGCAACGTATCAGGACTATCAGACTGCTAGATGGTATTTGAACTGGATAGCCTTCAACAAATTCTTGAATGCTACGTATTGGAAGCGTACTTGGATCATTCAGGAGCTTGTAGTGGCTCGTGAAATCGAGATAAGGGTTGGATATCTTAAAATCCCCTGGAAATGGTTAGAGAAAACCATTGAAACTGTTGACGACGATCAATTAGGGGCGACTTGGAATCCAATCTTCACTCCTAGTTCGGGGTTTTTGAACGTCAATGGTATCAGAGGTTTGTGCATGAGGCGTAGGAGTGGGGATGGTCTTCGGTTACTTGAGGCTCTGTCCCTTAGCTGGTTCTCCCAAGCAACAGATCCGCGAGATAAGGTATTCGCATTACTTTCTCTAGCTGTAGATGGGCCTGAGATCATCCCCAACCCAAACTACGAAGGCACTGTCGAAAGCCTTTTCGAGCAAGTCACGCGAGGTATCATCCTCCGAAGCAAGCGGCTTGACATTTGCTGCCTCAAGAATCCAGCATATGTCCCTTCAGAGATGCCCTCATGGATTCCTGGCTGGCTTGAAGTAGGCAATTCATGCATGGGCTGGCAGTTGATTTCGCTATTGACGAAGCAAAGAGTCGAAAAACTTCAGAAGGCAAAAGCTAAGAGAGAAACGGGTAAACCTGAGAAAAATATAACTATAAACGCCACAAACAACACATCAGCAACAATGCTGATCCTCGACAGCACGCTTAGGATCAAGGGGATGCTTTTCGACACTGTCAGTGGACTGAGTTCCGTAGCACCCTTCAGCAGCAAAACTATCAAGGGTCCCATCAAAGAATATCGATCTTTGCCCTACTCAACTACTGTTAATCCTTATGGAACTACTATCCAGACATACAAAGCTATATGCCAAACACTAGCCATGGGTGAAGGTGTTTCCGCCGCAGCAGTCCGGCACTTCCCAAAGATGTGGACAGCTGATGGTCAAAAAGCTATGCAAAGGGTCGAACCATGGCTACTCAATTGGCTACGAGCCAACGAAAATTTTCAAATTGCCGGCAAAACCCTACGACAGTGGGCTGATTTACCACGATCTCGCAAACGTCTGGGCATAGGCACCCACTGGCTCGGGGGACAGCTGCTTCCAGAAAATTTCCATGATAGCACACTAAAAGGGTTTATCCAGGCTCTTAACCGTGTCGTTCGATTCGACAGAAGGATTTTAGTGACAGAGAAAGGCTATATTGGTATGGTACATCCTCAGGCGAGACCTGGAGATAAAGTATGTTTGATTATGGGTTGCGGTGTCCCGCTCATTTTGAGAGAGGATGTGAATGGCTTTCGACTTGTTGGCGAGGCGTATGTGCATGGTATTATGCATGGTGAGGCAATGGCGAATGGTAAGGCTGCCTGGAGGGATCTGGATATATACTGACGAGCTGGATATGACTGTACAAAGCGGAGTGTAGGAGTAATTGTGTGATACCCATGAAGTACAATATCTAATGACAAAAGTTTGGCCTTATTGTTTTAATACCCTCGTGTTAAGTTGTAAAATAACTAGTAGCAAAATGGCCAGCCTAAACATTTACCAATGATAGGCATAGGTGCAAATTTCTCCCATTCCCATTTTAACCTCAAGGCCGTCCCCGATAAACTTTTTATACCTAGTATCGATATACTCTAAGCAGCAATTATATATAGGATATTTACAACGGTATGTGCTCGTCAGGAGCGGCTCTGGTCCCAGCTGATAGATAAGGACTTGACCCTGCACCGGCTCGAAGCTTTATACCACTATTTTCGTGAGGTATGTCACAGCAAGATGATGGGATCATAAATCCCATGTGGTTATTTCAATGAACATGGGGTCAAGGACTAGAGCAAAGAAGCGTAAAGAAAACCGTTTATCCAAACATATATGTACAAAGAGAAATTAGAACAGTACCTGGAGGATTTCAGGAATACGGTTGTGGAGAGAGATGCTACGACAAAGAAGCCCCCGACGTAACATTTTTGCAACACATACTTCAAGTACAAAATTAATGGCAGATATTGACCTGAGGCGAAAACATCCAGCTTCATGTCTTTTTAATTTCTCCTTACGGTGCTCATTTTGGATCTTGGCTGTCAGTAGATGATATCCCAATCACGACTCAAACACTCGGAATGAAGTAATGAACAAAACTAAATTCGAACGGGTGTATTACGGAAATGCTGTGATGGAATTCTTCACTTATGGCGCATCTCAGATATGTTCCAATGTGCCAGCCGATTGACAAATACTACCCCGAAAGTGGCTCAGAATACTCTAGTTCACCAACGGACCTTGGTGTATGAGAGCTCTTGGTACATAAATGGAACAAAATTACAGACAAAGAGGAGAAGATTAGCAGAGTATATACACTGGTAGAACAGTTCCACAAAATAATTATTGTCTTTGAATAAATACGTAGGGACTATATTGTGGAATTATTTGAATTGTAAAAAACAATATATGTCAGCTGGAATCTCAGAGAAGACAGACTAGTACAGCCAATCACAAGCCCAAAGCGACCATGAATTTTGCCGAGCCCTCATTTTGCCACGAATCATACAGCATTCCAGCCCCACTTGTAAAATTTCAGTCATAATATCAAATAAGCAAAAGAGCCGCAACAAATCGAGCAAACATCTCAAAATCCCCGGTGGCGCAATTGGCTAGCGCGTTCGACTGTTAATTCTGGGATCCCCAGTTAGCAATCGAGAGGTTGAAAGTTCAAGCCTTTCCCGGGGAGTTTCTCCGCATCTAATCTCAATTTTTTTGGGTGAGAGAAGGAAGTGGAGGTTTTGGTATTGAAAATATTTTTCATTTTTTTGCTGACCGGGAATTTGTACTGTGATTTTTTTTTTGGGAAGCGAGAACAACAGAACTCACAATTATTCCCACATTCTCCATTTTATGCTGGCAGTGAAATGTCTATGGGTGTTATGGCGGGGTTATTGCAAAGGAGGTGTAAGAGTACGTGCTACCACACACGACCTACTCCACGAAAATACACCAAAAACTGCGAAAACACGCACTTTTAAATTACTTATAAGTGAACAATGGGCAGAAAGTATAATCTTTAATTAAGTGATATCAATAAAATTTACTTGAATTTTAATTCACATGATTTAGAATTTAATTTATTTGTTGAATGTAAAAGTAACAGGAAGTTTTTAAGGAAGAGGGAAAATTGCTCAAAATCGCCTAATTTACCTACAAAAACCGTAAAAGTTGAAATTTATCACGTTTAAGCGTATGCTAAACGATCAAGCTTAAAGTAAATATTAATAGCAAGTAGTATATATAGTTCCAAGTAATTATCTGCTAGAATTTTATCCAGTGGTTGTGTTTTTATATGATCTTCAAAAGTCTATGTTTTGGTGTGTTTCGATGGGGTGGGCGGCATGTGGTGGCCGCAACTCTTACTTTCTGAACACTTCCACACAAAAAAGAGCCTTTAATTCCCAACACAGGTTTCAATGCTACTCGTGGCTTCTGCATAAGACTTGTAGCGGTGCACCAAGTGCCCTCCTCAAGTTTTACACCGATAAAATTTGTAGATTTTCTATTTCCTTAGAGCACATTGATCATATTTTATTTTTGACCTCTGTACCGATAAAATCTTTCAAGAATCATCACCTGCTACCTACTCCCTACTCACTTTCTAATATCGCATCTCAAACAAAATTCAATGATGATTTGTTATATTTCCAACTATACGCTATGCTCATATACTAATCCAAAGGAGCTCTAGGCGAGGACACTTCGCAAGACGCACCCCCCTATTCAAACTAGCCCACTTTCACCTACCACCTACTCTTGCCTCGTTTCTGAATTCACCCAATAGCCTCAATCAGATGGGGCTTGAATTTCCCCAAATTCTCGGTCGTAGGAAACTGCCCCAACTCAAGCACTACTTTATGTTTTGTACCCTTGACCTTCCTCATAATCTTCTGCGGCATCCCCGGTGTATTATTCCAGTCAAACTCACCAATCAACATGAAGAATAGGCACTTCTCAGTGTTGGTATCTTTCATGCAGGAACACCCGCCCCAGCCGCTAAAGTAGAAGTTTAGACCGCCGAGGAAAATGTTGTAGGCTCGGGAAGAATAGAGGTGCGAGACTAGTTGGTGGTTTACGGAAGGGGTGATGGGGAACACCATTTTTATTGGAAACATTAGTAGGTAGGGAGGAGAGTGGAAGGAGAGGACGAAAAACATAGATCCATTCGGGGTTGTAGATGGGTTGATTAGCATGTGGTGGGCGGTCATAGACTTGACGTTCCATATTGAGATAATCAGATCTACCGATTTGTCAGTGATTTTCCAATACAGCATTTGAAGATGCACTCACTTGAAGAAGGAGGGTTCCACTAGCACCAGCCTCATCTGAATGATTAGCAACATCATGCTAACCTATCCCGCTATCGATACACTATAAATTATTGGCTGCTTCATTTCAACCTCCTTCAGCAATGCAGAAATAGCATCAGCATTACTATCCTGAATATAGTTATGAGCACAACAGGAATGAACTTGAGAAAGGAAACTTCACCCATGTTACGGAAGACTAAAAACAATCACATTCGAAATTTTTGTCATCTCTGTGCTGTTTAGCACACCGTGGTACTGACGGCCAGATAGTGTGGGAGGTGCTTCGTTGTGGGCCCTGTTGCTACCATGCCTCTGCTATATCCAATGGCGACGGGCATTCTGTTATCAGATCCAGCAGCCTCGTACCAAAATGTGAACGACTCCTTTAATTTGGGGGCATCAACGAAGGCTTTCCATTGAGAATCCCGTGGGAGTATGCCGTTGACCCTACGAATGGCGGGTTGAGTTTTATGGGGGATCACTCTATGTATCAACATTTGAGCACATTTGATCCGTGATATTTGTGAAAGGTGAATGTACGGAAAAGGAAAGCGTGAATGAAGAATGCATTCTACTCTAACTTGATACAACCTTGACTACTGATGTTAGTTGCCTTACAAGATACATTCTGATATCTATTCCCCCATAGCACGAAGTAATAAGGGGATCATGCTACAACCCCACAAACCCTCTAAAATGCACACAAGGCACTGGTGCCACCTGTCGGCCATGCAGAATCGTGTAACGGATTTACTAAAGATAATGTGGAATTTGAGCTGGTCTTAAACTCGTAAGGTTACCACTCTGTAACTTTGTGGGTTCGTGTACAAACTTAGGACAACGGTTTGCCAACCGGATTTTCATCTCTTCAACAAGCTTTACATTTCAAGTCTGACAGCTCTACAGCTCTGATCCTTGATTAGATCTTGATTTCTGGAGTCCTATATTACCTCTCTGGTCTTTGTCTAGTTCTGCATGTTGCAGAAGCTGAGAGCTAGTTGACATCATGAGATGAGCCCCAGGGGGGTTATGGGTGTAGAGAACGGAAGGAAAGAATGCTGAAAAGTGGAAGCGAACAAACAAACAGAAGTCCTCTGAGCCAAATATTGTGGCAAGGGGGCCGGTCTACAGGTTCCACCCAAACGTTATGAAGCCATATTTGCACGCTCACAACTATATTTTATCAACGCTCTGTAAATCTAGTCGATAGCTTCAGAGACATACGTTGCAAAGACACTATTAGTATGTGCTTGTCGTGGATAACCTTGTATCTGGTTAATTGCGATGCCACTCCAACCTCCACTGCACTTTACCCCTCCGATTTCCCACAATCCCCCCCTTCCAGCTCGATCATGCCCCTCAGCCCTTACCGACCCCTAGAAAGACTCTCGCCTACTATCACTGTCCTCGCTTCTCCAAAACGAAACCCGAATCTTGTTTATCCATGCCATCGGTATCGGACTCTCCCCATACACATAAATAGGGGAAGTTCGTATTAGTATCACATTCGTGAGCATTCCCTTTCTCCTTTCTCCTTTCTCATCTTGATATTTGCTATTGATTTAATACTAATATTAACAGCGCATAGATGATAAAAGCCGTGATCTCCACGCACTGCCGTCTACAGCACGGGTCACACAGAAGGTCGGCCCGATGGTATTTACTAGCCCTTAGAAGGGCGAGACATCTTTGTCATCATCCATATGAGAAGTGAGAGGGAATAATACGATATACGTCATGAGCACGCCACTCATAGGAAACTGAGAGCCACAGTCGAAAGAAAAAGAAGCAACGGGAAGCCTCAACAAAAGCATTTGGAGAAATATGAAACCTAGCAAATCTCTCAAGAGTCTTTTCAGCTGTCGATAATTTCAATGAAGCTTCTATCATGGCTCATGGAGTTTGTCATATTCTAGAACCTTGCTATGTAGTACCGAAGAATAGATTGATAACAGTTGTGCCACGGTGATGATGCTGCGCAGAAGTCAACCGAGAACCACTATTATGGATATTGTGGCGGGCTTGGCGGGCTAAAATTGAGGGGTAGGGAGTTCTGTCTCTCCAGTCTCATGTGATGAATCACCCAAGTTCTTGTAACCCTGTATTATAAAATATGACTGTATGACTGTAATATATAGTATGTTTTATATTTTATATTTTAGTTTCAAACTTACGTAGGCTTTTATGTATATTAGACAGAATGAAAGAGCATTGGCCTATTCTTACCTAAACACATTTAAAGGCAAGTGATATGTTTTGTTAATTGTGGTTAGAACATGACGTCATAGTTTTTGATAGTTGGGCAAGCTGAGAGAAGATCCTACGGGATGAAATGGTAGCGGATGAATCCTTGGCTTCTTCCGGAGCCGATAGGGGGGGGGGAGGAGAAGGTTGGTGCACGGTCAGGGGAGGCTTTAGGTGTAGGAAACTTTTTCCATCGTTTCATTAGGTTGTTTTGGGGGAAACCCATTGGATATGAGCTGCAATGGTCAAACATGATACATGCAAGTTTTCAAGTGGCGGTGAGTTCATTGGGTCCTGGGGTGCTCCATCCTACTTGCAAAAGTGTAAATCGAATATACTCTCATGAGTCTCGCATAAACACTTTACCGGGTCACAACTACGCAACTGGGGGGAAGCGGGTTTCGTGTAAGGTTCCAGCATAGGTAGAGGGTGTGTGGGAAAATTACTGTGTCACCATGCTCGTGTTCAAGAAACGTGGGCAGGTGCCACTCTCGCTCGGCTGTGGGGAAGAGAAACAGGAGAGCCGAAAAAGCATCCGTCCCAGCTGACTGGTGTGCAGAGGTCCAACTGTCGAACATTTCAATAACGGGGTCTGAACGCCGCATGTGATTTTGGCACTGTAACTTTCGCTATGCCCAACGGAAAAGCTTCATTAAAACAGTCAAGTGATCCCCATACGGAGTAATATATACTTGCGTCTTTTCAGGTTTAGTTGATCTGTTGTGACTTTGATGCAAGGGGGGAGTAAATTTCGAGTCCCGCTACCGTTATTAGAATATTCCATAGAAGCTGTCTCCCATGGTGCCTTCCATAATGTTTGTTTCAGCGAATAGCCTCTGTACAACGTGGGCGGTGGGTTAATCCCATTAGCGTGTCCGGCATTTCCCCTACTGTATTGTTCATTCCTTGATTTTCAAGCCATTGGCTTTCACCCCAACACCACCAGCATGCATTTCTCCGCATAATGCTTTCTTGTGGCTGTTGTGGCTTGAAAATATCAGAGTAGCGCCAGCGCTCAGGGACGTTCCCCAAGCGGCCCTTCTCTATTAAACGCGGGCCAAAAACAAAAAGCTGGGCATAAAGCATGGTCGAGATGATCTCCTTCGGAATAATCCCATGTGCCATACCACTC